TTTCCTGTAACATTGAGATTACAGGCATGAGCCACCGTGCCAAGCCTCTTTTTTTTTTTTTCCGAGACAGAGTCTTTCTCTGTGCCCAGGCTGGAGTGCAATGGTGTAACCTCGGCTCACTGCAACCTCCACCTCCCGGGTTCACACCATTCTCCTGCCTCAGCCTCCCGAGTAGCTGGGATTACAGGCTGGTCTTGAATTCCTGACCTTGTGATCCAGCCGCCTTGGCCTCCCAAAGTGCTGGGATTACAGGCGTGAGCCACCGCACCCAGCCTTATTAATGCTATTGTGAAAAATCCTCACGGGCTGCAGATAACATCCTTGCAGTACCTTTACTCCTTTGGCTTTTTGCCAGCACCAACATTGGCCTTTGCAGTCCCCCTGACTTTCTCCATCCTGTTCTTGCATTCCTTTAGTTGGTTTCTTGAGGTCTTTTTCTTCTCATACAGGCCTTGTCTTGCAAGTCTGTGTTTGGTATGTTTGGGTTCATTTTACTTTACATAATCCAAGGAATCATAAATTGTGCCAAAGCCACAACCAACATGAGTTCTGAATCCAAATACAAAGATGACATCCACTGTGGTCTTGTACATTTTGGCTAGTTTTCCCTGAATTTCTGTCTCAGGCACTGTTGCCTTCCAGGGGTGAAGGACATCAATGAGCATCTTTTTCTTCTGAAGTAGTCATGAACTTTCTAGTTAGGATAGTTACCGTGTGGTTCATGATGGCAGCCTACCCTCAGCCAGCCAGGGAGGAGAAGAGTTCTCTTTAGTTTCTGTAGGGAGCAAAACATCCCAGAATTCAAACTTTCTTGGCTATTGTTTTAAGCTACCATTACCTTCTTGCTTATCAAGTTGCTCATTTACTTCTCAGGGCTCACTAGGTGACTGGAATTTCCCCTGTGATAACTAAAACTTTTCCTTTTTTTCCATGCTTTGGAGAAAGTGCACGGCAGGCTCCTAAGAGAAGTCCCTGCTACATCTTATGACCATCTTGCGAATTACTGTACCCTAGCAACTACTATGGTGCCTGGTGCATAGGAGGATGATTGATTGAATATATGCAGAAATTCACAATGTGACTAATTCAAAGTACCTGACACTCATTTGAATGCACACATTTGAAATAGTTTTTAAAAGAAAATAGCTTCCATAATTTCCAAATACAACAATAACAGTTTATAGGAAATGTCCCAAGCGAGTCCACTTACTTCTGTTTCTTTTTCACACAATACCATCTTCTGAATGTATTCCATATTGCAAAATAAAAAAGCACTTTACGGTGATTATGTTAAATAGAGCCAACAGCATCATCCCTGTTTTATAGATTAGAATGTGGGGATGTGGAACAGTGAGTAATTTTTTCAACATTAGTATTATTAATTAGAATCCCAACTTATACTTACTAATGCCCATTTCTGCCCAAATCACTGGAGGAAGGGCGGATTACCTATGGCGCTGGGGGTGGGGTCAGTTTCTCGTAGGTATGGGATGGGGAGATACTTGAGCAAGATTGGGGTACTCCAGAGAAGGAACAAAGTGGGAGCAGATCCTGCGTAGGTCTTATGTCCCCTGCAGTCACCAACTAATAAATGGAAGAACTGGCACTCGCACTTAGCTCTCCTGAAGTTAAATGTGGTACTTTTGTTTTTAGGGAATGTGTTATAACAAACAGCTCATTTTAAAGAGAACTTTTAGGGATTAATAAGTTTTACCCAGATAATAGATCAGGAGTTTTATTCTAATTGAAAATTAAATCTGATTTATGTGTCTCATGTGTTTTGATTCAGTGTAATACATTTTACAAATGAAGAGATGTGGGAGACTGCAAATTATAGAAGTTTGTGTTTGTTTTGTTTTTAAATCTAAAGTTGTATACATTCCTAGAATCCTTTTAGCAGCATTATTCAAAACCCCTTATTAACATTATTCAAGCTAGGCACAGTGGCTCACATCTGTAATCCCAGCACTTTGAGAGGCTAAGGTGGGCAGATCACCTGAGGTCAGGAGTTTGAGACCAGCCTGGCCAAGATGATGAAACCCCATCTCTACTAAAAATACAAAAATTAGCCGGGCGTGGTGGCGTGCGTCTATAATCCCAGCTACTCAGGAGGCTGAGGCAAGAGAATCACTTGAACACAGGAAGTTACAGTGAGCCGAGATCGTGCCATTGCACTCCAGCCTGGGTGACAAGAGTGAAACTCCATCTCAAAGAAAACCCAAAAAACAAAAAACGTTATTCAAAAGCATCTGCAGAACCTAATCCAGTAATTTCTTTCTTTATTTTTGAGACAGAGCCTTGCACTGTCGCTCAGGCTGGACTACAGTGGCACGATCTCGGCTCACTGCAACCTCTGCCTCCTGGATTCTACTGCCTCAGCCTCCGAAGTAGCTGGGATTACAGCACTCGCCACCACACCCAGCTAATTTTTTTGTATTTTCAGTAGAGACGAGGTTTCATTATGTTGGCCAGGCTGGTCTCAAACTCCTAACCTCATGATCCGCCCGCCTCGGCCTCCCAAAGTACTGGGATTACAGGCATGAACCACTGCGCCAGGCCAATCCAGTAATTTTTAAAGTGGTATTCTTTAAGATTTCCCTGCAGAGGAAAATTGTTTCCTGTGAGCATCAACCCTAAGGCCTCCTAAGAAATTTCTGAGTTCAATAAACAGCAGATTTATGGCTGAGTGCGGTGGCTCACACCTGTAATCCCAGCACTTTGGGAGGCTGAGGCAGGCAGATCATTTGAGGTCAGGAGTTCAAGACCAGCCTGGCCAACATGGTGAAATCTTGTCTCTACAAAAATTAGCTGGGTGTGGTGGTGCACGCTTGTAATCCCAGCTACTTGGGAGGCTGAGACAGGAGAATCACTTGAACCTGGGAGATAGAGTGTGCAGTGAGCTGAGATTGCACCACTGCACTCCTGCCTGGTGTGACAGAGTGAGACTTCATCTCAAATAAATAAATAAATATCAGATTTATAATGAGCATCTTTAAGACACATTTTATGCCAATGTGGCAGACACTGCCAGCTGCTTGCCAATAGCCATTTTCCCATTGTATTTACTCACAGAATCCAATTTTATTCTGGGCACAGTCTACCCACTTAAAATATTGAATGCCCAGCCTCTCTTGTAGTTGGGGTTACTTTATGACATGATCTGGCCGACCCTCAGCTCTATAAACAGTGGCTTCGTGGTGCTTCCAGGAACATGCCCATTGTCCTTCTTCCTCCTGCCTGACTCATGGACTCGATGCTTGATGGTCAAGTAGCTGTCCTGCCACCATGAACATGAAAGCAACAATCTAAGGATGGCACAGGGAGCTAGGAGGAACCTGGGTCCCTAGAGCAGCTGCAGCAGCCTGGCCTGCCCACCTTTGAATCCTGACCATGTGGAAAAACAAATCCCTATTTGGTAAAGACATGGTAGTTGAGTTTCCGTTTACATGCATGCAGATACAATGCTGACTAATACGTTCAATATTTCCATTTTTGTGCCTTTTGTACAGCTCCAATAAGACCAAGTAACAAGATCATTGCTACACAAAATCTTCTCCTCCCTAACCTCCTGAACACAGTCCTTTCTTCTATGATGTGTTTCTGTAATAATAGGTCACATGTAAATTGGTAATTCGGGCACTGAGGAGAGCATAAAATGGAAGTCACATTGGTTTCTATGCTATTTTTCATTGCACATTAATATTTTGAAGCAATGTATGAAGATCTTAAAGGAAAACAAAACAAATCCTGAAGAAATACTTTCCTTTTGTGCAAGTAGTGGCAATATAGTGACTTTAAAGACCACGAGTTTTTCCCCAATGTTAAGCTATCTGGTAAAAGTGCAGACGAAGAAGTTATGTGTACATGTCATTCAGTTAATTCCAGAAGCCTTTTTTCCCAATGAAGATGATCTCTAATTCCCTCACATGTCTACATCTCAGAGCAGGTAGTGTGAGCCCAAGGGTTTGATGCTGCAGAGGCTGGCTGATGACGAAGGTGGGTGCACATGCAAGTGCAGATAGAATGGGCTCATTTTTTTTTTTTTTATCAGCATTATGATTGTTTTTTTAGTGCTCTGGTTACAACATTGTATTAGGATTTGAGCAGTTTGCTACAGACCTATTTCCCTGAAGTCCAGTTTATTTTATTTTATTTTATTTTATGAGACAGAGTTTCACTCTGTCACCTAGGCTGGAGTGCAGTGGTGCGATCTTGGCTCACCGCAACCTCTGCCTCCAGGGTTCAAGTGATTCTCCTGCCTCAGCCTCCTGAGTAGCTGGAATTACAGGTGCCTGCCACCAAGCCCACCTAATTTTTGTATTTTTAGTAGAGACAAGGCTTCACCATGTTGGCCAGGCTGGTCTTGAATTCCTGACCTCCTGACAGGGTTACATCATATTGCCTACGGCTGGTCTTGAACTCCTGGGCTCAAGTCATTTACCTGCCTTGGCCTCCCAAAGTGCTGACATTGCAGGCATGAGCCGCCACACCCAGCTGAGAATTCATTCTTTTTGCTTCTTCTGGCTTCTGATGGCTGCTGGCATTCCTTGGCTTGTGGAAGCATCACTCCAATATTTGCCTCTGTTTTCACGTTACCTCTTCTATGTCTGTCTCAAATCTCTCTCTGCCTATCTCTTACAAAGATGCATGTGATGGCATTTAGGACCCACCTGGATAATCCAGGATAATCTCCCTATCTAAAAATAAATCTGAAAAAAAAATCACATCTTCAAAGAGCCTTTTCCAAATAAGGTAACATTCTCAGGTTCCAAAGGTATTAGGGATTAGGACTTGCTATCTTAGGGGAGCATTGTTCAGCCCACTACACTAATGTTCTTGTAGCTGGAGGAATATTCCTACCAGGAGAATACCAGGAAGTATCTTTTGCTTTCTGCTTTTGTCCTTTTCTGTCCTTGGAAAATATGTTTATTTCTGGAAAACTAAGCAACATGATGTCTTAGTTTGTTCAGACTGCTGTAACAAAAATACCATAGACTGAGTGGCTTCAACAACAGATTTATTTCTCATAGTTCTGGAGGATGGGGAGTCTAAGAGCAAGGTGCTAGCAAAGTCAGTGTCTGAGGGGCCACTTCCTGGTTCAGACACAGCCATCTTCTTGCTGTATTCTCACAAAGCAGAAGGAGGGCCAGAGAGCTCTCTGGGGTCCCCTTTTATAAGGACACTAATCCCATTCATGAAGGCTCCACCCTCATGACCTTATTTCCTTCCAAACGTCCCACCTCCTGATACACACCAGTGGTTAGAATTTCAACGTTTCAACATATAAATTTGGTTGGGGGTGAGGGGAGCACAAACATCAGTCTATTGCAGGTGATGACTGTTTTCTTATAAAACAATAAGAATTACATTTTCCAAAGAATCAGTGTAATAGTATTTGCAACTCATTCATAAAAATGTTTGATTGTCTTCCATCAAGAAACTCCTACCAAGTTAAATTAATGAGCAGTGGAGGTGGCAAAGCAATACTTGAGAAATTTTACATGCTGTGCCATTAGATCCATCATGATTTGCACACAGAATATAAAATCTTTGGCGTTCACCACTTAAAGTCGTTATCACCACATCACAAAACCAGGCTGTGACCTCAGGGTCCTTGCCAAATGCCACTGAACACAGGGGTGTCTTGCTTCATAGAGAGAGCTGGAGCCTTAGCAGGCTTTGGTGTGTTTGAGAGCCCCTAGAATGAAGGCACAAACAAACCCTGTTAATAATAAGGTGATTCTGGCACGATTAAGTCTTTCTGAAATCTGGTTTGGAGGTCCAGAATTTAAACTTGCCCTGGTTTTAGACTCAAAAAAAAAAAAAAAAAAAAAAAAGTGTTCTACAACTTTATTCAAATAAAGTTTTCTTTAATAGGAAAGAATATTGTATTAGTCCATTCTCATGCTGCTATAAGGGACTGCCCAAGACTGGGTAATTAAAAAAGGAAAGAAGTTTAATTGACTCACAGTTCCGCGTGGCTGGGGAGGCCTCAGGAAACTTACCATCATGGTGGAAGGGGAAGCAAATACATCCTTCTTCACATGGCAGCAGGAAAGAGGCAGTGCTGAGCAAATTGGGAAAAGCCCCTTATAAAACCATCAGATCTCATGAGAACCCACTTGCTGTCAAGAGAACAGCAGCATGGGGGTAACCACCCCCATGATTCAATTATCTCCCACTGGGTCCCTCCCATCACACGTGGGGATTATGGGAAATACAATTCAGGATGCGATTTGGGAGAGGACACAGCCAAACCATATCAAATATTATGGATTAATTAACTATGGCCAAATTTAATCAGTGCAAAGTCACACTTATTTTTCAGAATAGTATTTTAGTCTTGTAAAAACTCTCATTCTTAAGTAATACACATTCTATTGAGAAAGTCAGGTCTAAGAAAAGAAAGAGTTGAATGATTCTCATGGGTCTTATCTCATTTATAACAGATTTGGGGGAACATTTTATTTTATTTTTTGTAGAGACAATATCTTGCTATTTTGCCCAGGCTGGTCTTGAACTCCTGGGCTCAAGTGATCCTCCTGTCTTGCCCTCGTAAAGTGCTGAGATTAGAGGCATAAGCCACCACACCTGGCCAAACATTTTAATTTCATTTCTTACATCAGTTTTTTTTTTTTTTAAATCAAACCATGACAGTAAATTGGGAATTTCTCCTTTATCAGAAAACCTACTTTTAAAGAATTGGATTCTAATTTAGTCCATAAAATTGATGGCATACATATTTTTTCTTGGGAATTAAAAATGTTTCAAATATTCCACTTATTCATGCAACATGAACAGGTTCCTTTTTTAAAAAAAAAATTTAATTTTAGGTTCTGGGATACACGTGCAGAACGTGCAGGTTTGTTACATAGGTAAATGTGTGCCATGGTGGTTTGCGGCACCCATCAACCCATCACCTAGGTATTAAGCCCCTCCCTCCCCCAGCGCCCCCAACAGGCCCCAGTGTGTGTTGCTCCCCTCCCTGTGTCCATGTGTTCCCACTGATGAACAGGTTCCTAGTTTCTAAACACCTATTATGGACCAGGCACACTAGACACTGGGATACAAAAGTCAACAAGACCTGGTTCTGCCCTCAGGGAACCTGAAGTGTAAGGGGATGGAGAGAGGACCCAACTTCTCATGGGCTGTGAATGGTCCAAGGGACTGGGCTAGGCTGGGCTGGGCTGTGAGAGTGAAGCAGAACCCAGCCAGTCTCAGGGAGGCTAGGGGCCTCTTCCAAAAGGAAGCTAAGGCCTGAAGAAGAAGAAAAAAGCCATTTCCTTCAACAGTGACTGCGTGAGGGAAGGGGGTGTGTATAAAGGCCCAGAAGTGATGTGCTTGAGAAAGGGAGGCTGCATGGCACAAGCACCAGGTTAAAAGAAGAGGCTGGGCCAGCCCCAGAGTGGCCTCATAAACTTATTAGAGGGTTTGGACTCCAAAACAATGAAAGGATCCCTTCCTTCTATTCCTTTTCTTTCCCTTCCTCTTTCTTCATTCCTTTCCTCCTTCCTCCCTTCCTTCCTTTCCTTTGTCTTCCTCCCTTCCTTCCTTCCCTTCCTTCCTTTCATACTCCCTCCCTCCTTCCCTTTTTTCCTTCCTTCGTTCCTTCCTTCCTCCCTCCCTCCCTCTCTTTTTTCTTTCTCTCTTTCATCTTTCTCTCTCTCTCCCCCGCCTTTCTTTCTTCTCCCCACCCTTCCCTCCTCTTTCTCACACTCTCTCTTTCTTTCTCTTTTAGACAGGTCCTCACTCTGTCACCCAGGCTGGAGTGCAGTGGCAATCATAGCTCACTGCAGCCTCCAACTCCTGGGCTCAAGCCATCCTCCCACCTCAGCCTCCCAAATAGTAGGGATTACAGGTGTGCACTACGACACCAGGCCATTGGAGGATTTTCAAGCAGGGCAAAGACATACTCAGATCTGCATTTTATAATGATCATTCTACTTGCTGTCGAATGGCTCAGATGCTGGCAAGCCTGGAAGCAGAGAACCCTCAAGGTAGGGAGAGGCAGATCTAGGGGAGAGAGTGTGGTTCCCTGAACTATGACTCAGTTGGGAAGAAAAGAAGTGGATGGATTTGAAAAACAATTTCCCCTAGCAGGTTCCCCTACTGCAACCTCCACCTCCCAGGTTCAAGCGATTCTCCTGCCTCAGCTTCCCGAGTAGCTGGGATTACAAGTGCACAGCCACCACGCGGGGCTAATTTTTGTATTTTTAGTAGAGACAGGGTTTCGCCATATTGGCCAGGCTGGCCTCTAACTCCTGACCTCAAGTGAACCGCCCACTTTGGCCTCCCAAAGTGCTGGGATTATAGGCATGAGCCACCATGCCCGGCAGCCCTAGTGATATTCTTGAAACAAACAACAGTTAAATACTTAGGTATTCAATACATCTAACTACTTTCTTGGAGCCATGAAAAATGTCAGTGGTCTGTGGTGAACGAGTTTTCAAATCTCTTGCTTACAGGCCTAATTTTATACCTACAAGAGCAGGCTTGAAAATTGCTTTCTCTAATTTTTATTCCTAAGGTCATATGACATTAGCCTAAATAAGTAAACTTCACCTGTTCACACACTATAGAAGCACATCAAAGCTGCTCCAGGCTGGATGCCGTGGCTCATGCCTGTAATCCCAGCACTTTGGGAGGCTGAGGCAGGCGGAATACACCCACCAGGAGTTCAAGACCAGGAGTTCAAGACTAGCCTTGGCAACAAAGAAAGACCCTGCCTCTACAAAAAAAAAAAAAAAAAAAAAAATTAGCCTGGCGTGGTGGCGGGCGCCTGTAATCTCACCTACTTGGGAGGCTGAGGCAGGAGAATTGCTTGAACCCTGGAGGCGGAGGTTGCAGTGAGCAGTGAGCTGAGATCGCATCACTGCACTCCAGCCTGGGTGACACAGCAAGACTCCATCTCCAAAAACAAAACCAAACAAAATTAAAAAACGGCAGCCATAAAAAAGGATGAATTCATGTCCTTTGCAGGGATATGGATGAAGCTTGAAACAATCATTCTCAGCAAACTATCACAAGAACAGAAAACCAAACACCGCATGTTCTCACTCATAGGTGGGAGTTGAACAATGAGAACACATGGACACAGGGAGGGGAACATCACATACCAGGGCCTGTCGGGGGGTGGGGTTTAGGGGAGGGATAGCTTTAGGAGAAATACCTAATGTAGATGATGGGTTTAAGGGTGCAGCAAACCACCATGGCACATGTATACCTATGTAACAAACCTGCAGGTTCTGCACATGTATCCCAGAACTTAAAGTATAATTAAAACACACACACACACAAAACACAAAAACAAAAACAAACAACAACAACAACAACAACAACAACAAAAACCCAACCCTGCTCAGATCCTCACAGCAGCAGGTGTGGCCACGGCTCCTCTTACCATTGCACTTCCCCGGCTTCTCTCCAGCAGGGGAGTCCGCCTGCTGTTTTGCGGTTCGCCGGGGTGCCCACCCCCACAGTAAAGGGAAGGGTGCAGGTCGCACACACCACACTCCACAGGAATGGAAAGGGCGGGAACCCGCCTTTGCCAGAGCCCACCGCACATAGCACATACCGTTCTTCAGCCTTCACCTGGAGCACCAGGGCGGTGCCTTGGAGCGCGGGATGATTTCGGGCTGCGGCGGCGGCGGCACAGCCCAGACACGGCGGCAGGCGTCCGGCTGCACTTCTTCTCTTCTCCAGCAGGTGGCAATGAGTTAGCGGCAGCCTTCAAAGAGAACTAACTTCACCGCCGAGGCCGGAAGGCACAAATATTTAAAATTCTTTTATTTTTTTTTAGACGGAATCTCGCTCTGTCGCCCAGGCTGGAGCGCAGTGACATGATCTCGCCTCAATGCAACCTCCGCCTCCCGGGTTCAAGCGATTTTTCTACCACAGCCTCCCGAGGAGCTGGGATTATAGGTGCGAGCCACCACGCCCGGCTAATTTTTGTATTTTTAGTGGAGATGCGGTTTCACCATATTGGCCAGGCTGGTCTCGATCTCCTTTCTTCGTGATTTTAACTGCCAACTTTAAAAATATTTAAATTTTGCTTAAACTAGAATAAAACAAAAGGTCCTAGGAGCTGTGAACAAGGAGAAGGCATCTGAAAATGCTCATAGAAATAGAATCCTAAATTTTATGACTTTTTTTTTTTTTTTTTTTGAGATAGGGTCTCACTCTGTTGCCCAGGCTGGAGTGGAGTGGTAAGGTAACCTCCGAGTAGCTGGGATTACAGGCGTCCGCCACCATGCCCAGCTAACTTTTTATATTTTTTTTAGAGATGGAGGTCTCGCCGTGTTGCCCAGGCTGGTCTCCGGCTCCCGAGCTCAAGTTATTCTCTCCTGCTTCGGTCAACCAAAGTGCTGGGATTACAGGCATGAGCTATCGCCCCGGGCCCCTTTATGGCTTTTTATATTAAAAGATGATGCCACTGACCAGTGCCAGTGGTGAAACAGTAGAGTCTGAAGATGACTCTGGGCTTCCAGGACGGGGGAAGAGCTGTAACCCAGTGCCTTCCTATTTCTTCCAAATTCAGCTTCCCATGACTTTCTCCCTCCCCGCTGGAGGGGCTGCAACTTCCAGTGGGCACCCAAGACTTCCAGATAAGAAGCAACTGGCCTTCTCAGATAACTCCTGACTCTTGGCATCTACATCAAGACAGCCTGATGCCACATTGTCTATGTGGACCCCACGGATAAGAATGTTCAAGTTTTGGTCTTGAAAAAGAGAGAACAAAAAGGGAGGGACGTGCCTTCACTGGAATGCTCACTATGACCTGTCCAACAGAACACCCCGTTAGTGGTGGTAGTTCCCTGCAAGTCTGCATCTATGATGCTGTGACTTTGCCTGGGCTCCGTTGTACAACATCTGCTTGCCTTCTCAGAAGAAAGAATTTGAATGAGGAGCATAAGGCCGAAGAAAGGTTGTGGCAAGTTTTAGAGCAGGAGTAAAAGTTTATTAAGCTTTAGAGCAGGAACTAAAGGAAGGAAAGTACACTTGGAAGAGGGCCAAGTGGGCGACTTGAGAGACCGAGTGC